CTCTTATTTAAACTGTAACTGACTGAAATCGACGCCTGCGTTGCGAGATGTGTGTCAGTGTCACAGGCCGACGAGATTTGTGTGTGACTGTAGCGGAGATGTATTACGTAACAGGCGTTTTGTTTGCATAAATGACCGTTTCTCTGGCTAAAAACAAATACAAAGTTGAAGCAAATGACACTATCAAGTCATATTAAGAGCGTTTTGTTTGAAATAAAACTGAGCACGGTCTTCCTTACCTCCAGAAGAGCAATAGAAAGCTTTATCTTCATGCAAGGCTGCCAGTTTTCTGGCTGATGCTGGTTCTTACTTAAAGTCATGAAAATGCGTTTAAAAGCACATAAACTGATGAAAGTGAATTTAAAAAAATTGAAGAAGTTGCTTTCTTCATCAGGTGTCCTTGTATTGAGCACTGCCTCTATTATTAACTGAATACAACTTTTAACCATAATATTTGGTGACTTTCCCGATAGGGAAATGCAAAAAAACAGATATTGCACGTTGGAGTAAACCAGACACAGCTAGACAAGGTCTGATATCCGAAGTTTGTAAACTCATAGTCTAAGAAAGAGACTGAAGAATGCGAAGTACATAATGACCAGACTTTTCAATGATTCAGTAAGGTTCTGTAGTTCAAAACGTAATCATTATGCAATAAAGGTCCTACTTAACCAAACCTGAGTCTTAAGAATCGAGATCCTCAAGTGACGGTCGACTGATACTCTGGTGAACCCAAGATTGTTATAAAATTAACAAGTTATATTGGTGCAAACATTGTTCAGCAGGATTCCAACTTAGAAATGGAGGTAAATCTGCAAGAAACGCTGCATCCCTCGAACTCTAAATAATACATTATGCAAAAAAAATTGTTATACATATATACCTCGTTTACAATCGTCTGGTGCGGTCCTTCGTAAAGATTGTAATCCGCGAACTTCCAGTCACTTCTGTTCAGGGAGCATCTTCTATCGTACAGCTCAATGGGTCTTGTTGCTGTGCTGTAAACCTTGCTCAGTGCGGATGAGCTGTTCGACTCCAAACATGCCGTGCTGTTGTCAGCGCACATCCACGGTGGCTCGTACGCCGCAAACACCATGATAAGGGTTTGGTAGGTGATGGGTAAAAATATGAACAGAAACATGACTAAAATACGAATCTGGGAAGGACCAAACTGGCCAATGCGTCTTAAGACCGAATCCACGTCTAAAGTCATGTTGTTTTCAACGGGTAGCTTTCAGAGGAATAACTCTATGCAAGTGTCTGCTTGTGAACACAACCGCCTTTCTCTAGCAGAGGGAATGTAACACAATCGGGGCTTATTAGTCCCGTGCAACGGCTTTGGACAACACTTAATTAAGTACAACGTGAACGGAATCCAAAACAACTCTCCGGGAGATGCGTGTTGTGCGAATTTGCATCTAAGAAAATATCCAGTTCATAGCAAACTGTTAGCCAATCGCTGATTTGTGTTCACGTGAATAGGGACAAAGATCACTCAGCGAGACCTCTATCAAAATGCCATTTAACAAACGTTCCAGTATACTCGTTTTTATCTCTGAAGATTGCTTTTTCTGGCCCAGGCTAATATTCTTATTTTTCTGCCGATTTTAGGCTGAAAATATTCTTGTGAATGATCTTAGACTATACCGTATGATATTTCCCTTGAAGTAATTTTGGAGCTACACTGCAGGCAATAAAGCTTATTAATGAAATACAATGAAATACCAGGTGAGCTTTCGCGCGAAAACTTGATATCTTCACAAGTGAAAATAACATGCTATTTTCACTTGTGATAAGATCGCCGTTGCTACGGTAACATAATAAATCGCCTTTCGCATGAAAAGTTAATGGTTTGTAATTTCATTGGCGTT